CGGCGGTTGCTTGCGAGCAAGCTAGTGGCGGCTGTTTCTACAGCAAATGCCAGTACCAATTTACCATTGAAACGAATGAACGAATCGTAAAGTGTTGGTTATCCGGACGGAGAAATAGAACCCTCAACTTCCAGCATGAGTGCATAAGAGACGTTTTGATTTCATCATAAGTTATGTTATATAGAAAATATGCAAATGTATGATGGCAAACAAAATTTTTTTTATTAAGAAGTATTTTACTTTTAGAGAAGGCACAAGAGTCAAGCCAAAATGCACAAGATGCGAAGAAAGTTCTAGAAACACTTATACAAGGAGCTGGAGCAAGCAGAGGTATGTCGTCGCTTATTAAAAAAATAAAAAAATTTATATAATTTTGCGGCACGATAGCACGGTCCATCTGAGGGCAATCTGTAATCTTATCGACATACAAATATCCCACTCCTAGTTTCAGAATTAGTTGACTTTCTTAATGAAACAGTTTAATCCCTGTTCGTAAAACTCTGTAACACATGTATTAGAATTTAATTATTGATTTAAAACAAGGTTATGTCATTTGAAGAATAGCTGCGAGCTAGTTGTAAAGTTTACTCAGAAATATTTGAGAGCGAAATAGAGGCATAGATGAGGATTAATGCTTGAAGCTGATAGATTAAGATGTTTTGTTCCACTAATTTGCAAACCTCTTAACTCAGAGCCACGATGAGATTTCTTGAGTACAAATCTTGAATCTCATTAGTATAAGCAGTAAAAGCGTTGTGCTCATTCATAAATAAAAATTTTTCTTTAAGGATCATCTGGCGAAACGGTAACTACTTCTAGGAAAGTGACCAGCACGTGGTCGAAAACAGGCAAGATATTTCTTTAAGTTTGTAAAAAAATTCAAAAAAAAAATGCTTTCGTAGAACTTTTCATCGTTATCGAAATCTGTGTAATAAAGGTGAGTTTTACAAGTAGGAAGCAGAATCGTTGGTGAAACTGGAACTGTTGCAACAACAACGATGAAAGTACCGGTGGAAGATGTTGGTATGGCCATCGCAACAATGGTCAAGATGGGCAAGGAAAAAGCTGATCGAGAAAGTAACCAACGCTTTCTTGACATATGAAATTCTTTATCTTTATTTATTCTTAAATATCTACCTCAAACATCTGGATTAGTGGTCAGTTCATAGTCTAGATCTCTATTTGCGCAGCTGGGAGCTTTTCAGCCACCAAAAAATTATTTGCACGTTCACACCACTCACTACATTCGAGGTAGTGAACTGGTCCAGTGTGCCGTTGGCTGTTGCAGGAAATTTGCAGAAAACTCGCGGAAAGCCAGCCAAAAAGCCACCGCAAAGAAAAAGAAAAGAAAAGGAAGGTGTAACTTGCCTTGAAAGTTAGATACACAGTACAGTGCTGCCAGAATAAATCTGGAGCACAAGAATCAGTGGTATAGTGCAAACACGTTGTGTTCGAATTTGAAGAAGAGTGGTTCGATTCCCTCCCAGTCCAGAATAGTTTTCGAAAAAGGGCTTCGTTTATGATACTGGCTTTCCTACTGATCTTATAGCACGCTGTGGCATTAACTAACTGATCGTTTTGCCTAACTATTATCTGTCACTTCCGCCACATTGCCAGTCTCTTCTTGGCAAACATTTCCTCTAGCACGTTTTTCTTACACCACCATGCTTCTAAAATATTTTCAC